GGTAACTGTAGTAATGAGGCGTGAGACATTGTGTGAGGAGCTGCCAGAGAAATGTGTGAAACGGCTGTTGGTGAATTCTATGACAGGTCTGATCGTGGCTGTCTGGTGGAGTCGTTGCTGTTGCTGCTGCTGCTGCTGTTGTTGTTGTTGATGTTGTTGCTGCTGCTGCTGTTGTTGTTGTGGCTGTTGTTGCTGTTGTTGTTGTTGTTTCTGTTATTGTTGTTGTTGCTGTTGTTGTTGTTTATCTGCTATTATTGTTCTAATGCTTAGTTTCCTATTTGTTTTTGTTGTAAAACCTTTTTACCTATTTGTAATGTTTGCGAAACTGAATTATTTTTATGAAGCTTATTATGTTACCAATTTGCTTTTGTTGTAATGTGTTACTTAGTAAAATTAGTTGGGTTTTTTTGTGTCTAAATTATCAATTTGTTGATATTTTTGTATTGGTTACAAGTTACTTTTAAATTGTTCGTGTTGTTGCTGTGTGTTGTAAGTTACCTGTAATTTGTTAGTGTTGTTGCTGTGTGTTGTAAGTTACCTGTAATTTGTTCGTGTTGTTGTTGTGTGTTGTAAGTTACCTGTATTTTGTTATTGTTGTTGTTGTGTGTTGTAAGTTACCTGTAATTTGTTAGTGTTGTTGCTGTGTGTTGTAAGTTACCTGTAATTTGTTATTGTTGTTGTTGTGTGTTGTAAGTTACCTGTAATTTGTTAGTGTTGTTGCTGCATGCTCAAAACTTTCCCTTCGATTTTCTCAAAACAGCATTTTTGGGGGGATAGCCCCCTTGTGCTTCTATGACTGTCGACACAAACAAGAAATTGTGAGGGTGCCGTTTTTCCAAGCTCTGGACTCCTAACTTCATTATTTGTTTGACTGGCGGTTTATTGTGAAGTGTTATTGAATGGGAAAGCCAATTGTGATACAAGGGCGGTAAAACTCTTCTACAACTAGACCAAGTCTGTGGTACGGCAATGGGTCTGTGGGTGCCTTGTGGGAGGCTTGTCTGTAGGACGACCCACCAACCCAAGCTGTAAGGTGGGAGGCTTGTCTGTAGGACGACCCACCAACCCAAGCTGTAAGATGAAATCCTCAAGGAAAGAGGCAGAGAGGAAGGCCTTAAAGCAGCGCCCCACTCAGACGAGACAGGCAGGACAACAGCCCGCCTCCTGAACTTGGACGGTCTAAATTGTGTTGATGGGGCAGTAAAAAACTCGTGCAATTTTTAAAAAAGTCTCCGTGTATGTGGCTGGGATAGTCACGTGGTTAGGGTACCGAACTCGTAGTCGTGAGGTTTGTGGTCTAGTGGTTAGGTTGTCGGTGGTCTAGTGGTTAGGTTGTCGGTGCTCTAGTTGTTAGGTTGTCGGTGGTCTAGTGGTTAGGTTG